AATGTCTATGAATATGTTGTTGACTCCTCTTTCAAAAAGTTTGTCAAGGAAGGACAGCAGAGAACAAGAGATTTTTGGATTAGGGAGAACGGAGCATGTTAGTTAAGAGAGAATAGAGAATCAGTTTATAGATGGGGAACTTGGTGGAGCATGGGAAAGGGGATAATTTATTGAATAAAGTCTCAGAAGGTAGGTATTCTTTTGAGTACAAAGATAAAGGGTCCTGAAAAGAAGTTTTGAGATCTTTGGGTCAGAATGGAAGGAATTAGTTTTTGATGGACTATAATATAGTTGACCCTTGAACAACATGGATTTGTACCGCACATATCTGCTTGTACATGGATTTTTTTTTTTCCCCAATAAAAGTCACACCAAATGTGCCTGCCTCTCCTGGCTCCCCTTCCACATCTCCACCTCTGCCACCCCTGAGACAGCAAGACCAACCCCTCCTCATTCTCCTGCTCCTTCTCAGTCAACATGAAGACAATGAAGATGAAGATTCACTTCCACTTAATGGATAATAAATATATTTTAAGATTTTCTTAATATTTTTGTAAGCTTGCTTTATTGTAAGGGTGTATACAATACAGATACAATATGTGTTAATTAACTGTGTTATTAGTAAGGCTTCCAGTCAACAGTAGGCTATTTGTAGTTAAATTTTGGGAAAGTCAGAAGTTATGTGCAGATTTTTTACTATGAGGGGAAGGGAATCAGCACCTCTGACCCCTGTAATGTTCAAGAGTCAACTGTATCTCAGTAATAGAAGAGGCTAGTTCCTCTGGTGGGATTGAGATGCAGAAGTGAATGAGGAGGGGGAGTGACCTGAGTGAGAAGACAGTTTTGGAAGCAGTTGTATAGAGAACATGGAGTTAAAGAAAAGAAATGTCAAGCCAGTTTGAAAATTCAGCTGATGTCTATATCTATTAAAAATATATCTGTGCCATTTATCTTAATATATGAAGATCAGGGTAATATTTAACTCATAAGGGAGTTCTTACACGTGTCATAACAGCTTCATAGTACAAAGGTACTATCATTATACTCATTTGTAAAGATAAAACTGAGACAGGTCCGTGCAGAGAGAGAGAGAGAAAGAGAGATAAGATCACCAGCTGCTAAGCAGCAGAACCAGGCTTTGAACTCAGGCAGTCTGACTACATAGCACTGTACGTGCTCTTCTGGAATACTATACTGCCTAAGGAAAGCTGGCCCGGTGGAACAGTGGAGATAGGCAGGGTGGGTGGGACAGGTGATGTGGCAAGAGAACTGGAGGTGCAGATAGGTGTTGCAATGTGTGTTCTCTGTGTTCAGATGAAATAGCAAAGGAAGTCAAAGTGTGGAGGCTGATAGAAAGGGCTTTGAGGGTTTGGAGGTCAAACAGGTAGTTTAGGTGGAATTAGGTGAAATGAAATATGGAAGGCTTATGATTGAAGAGGAATGGGTTATTTGAGATATAGCATTCTTGAGGAATCTCAAGGCCACCCTGTAGTCAAAGAAATGAATGGCTGAAGGAGAAGGGAGGTCTTTGGAGAAGAGAAAGCTGGAGGATAGGAGATCTGGACCAAAGGTGTGGATGTTACTGCTTCAGTGATGTTTTTCCTGTTTGCAATATTATTTTTATAAATTTGACTGTTGCGGGTTAAATAATTTCTCTTTTAATTGTCTTGAATAATTTAGCCCTTCTCTTTTCATCCTACATGTACTTAAAAATTGTAATATTAATACATCTCTTATTCTATAAATTATTCCTATTTGATATTTTAATCTCTCAATAAGATACTTTGAGGCTTTTTCGCTGTTAATTTTTAGTTTCTTAGCTTGAGGAATTTTAGCTTAATCATGACTAATGCAGTCAAAATGGATATTAAGATACATGGAAATGTTTTACTGCCTTTACAATTTAAACTCTAAAACAATGGTGTAAAATTAGGCGAGGTAGTTTTTTTAAGAAGGAAAAAAGTAGAATAGAGCAAATGTTCACTGAACTTTAAAAAAAAAGGTTTTTATTTTAGAATAGTTTTATATTTGCATAAAAGCTGCAAGGATGATACAGAGGGTTCCCATGTACCCCACATCCAGTTTCCCCTATTGTTAGCATCTTACATTAGTATGATACAGTTGGTATAATTTACAAACTGATATTGATATATTATTACTAAGTAAAGTCCATACTTAGATTTCCCATCGCTTCTCAGTCTTTTGACTAAGAATTTCCTTAGTTGTTGCCCAGTGTCCCTTTTCTGTCCCAGGACCCCATCTAGGATACCCTGTCACATTTAGTTGTCATGTCTGCTCAGGCTTCTGTTGGTTGTGACAGTTTCTTAGATATTCCTTGTCTTTGTTTGACCTTGATGGTAATGAGGAATACTGGTCCGGTGTTTTGTAGAAATATCCCTCAATTTGGGTTTCTCTGTTTTTCTCCTGATTGCACTGGGATCATGGAGTTGAGGGAGGAGGACCACAGAGGTAAAGTGTCAATGTGATTACATTAGGGCTGCATGCGGTAAGCATGACATCACCGTTGATGTTAGCCTTGTTCACCTGGCTGTGGTAGTGTTTGTCAGGTTTCTCCATTGTAAAGCTATTCTTTTTGCCCCGCCATTCCTACCATTACTCTACTCTTGGGAAGGACGTCACTGTGTGTGTTAGTCTGCTAGGGCTGACATAAAAAATGCCACAGACTAAGTGGCTTAAACAACAGAAATTTATTTTCTCCCAATTCTGGAGACTAGAAGTCCAAGAACAAGGTGCCAATAGGGTTGGTTTCTGGTGAGGCCTCTCTCCTTCTCTTGCGAAAGGTGCCTTCTCTCTGTGTTCTCACATGGGCCTTTTCTTTGTGCACACAAAAGGAGAGGGGGAGAGGGAGAGCTTTGGTGTCTCTTCCTCTTCTTAATAGGACATTGATTTTATTGAATTGGAGTCCACCCTTATGACCTCATTTAACCTTAATTACCTCCATGAAGGACCTATTTCCAAATACAGTCAGTCACATTGGGGGCTTAGGGACTCAACATAAGGATTTAGAGGGACACAGTTCAGTCCATAATGATATACACAGCCCACATTTGAGGAGGAGGGAGTTATGCTTTACTTCTTTTAAGTGCAATATCTACATAAATTATTTGCAGTTATTCTGAACAGATTTATTTGTTTTCTCTTTATTCATTCATTTGTTTATATCAGTAGGGACTACTGATATTTAATTTATTATACTTTGGGATATAATACTATATATACTATAATATTATATACTATAATACTATATAATACTATATTGTTATAGTATAACAATACTATATTATTTATTTTGTTGCTCAAATTGTTAATTTTTGAACTTGAGAGGTCTTTTAGTTGGCTTCTGTGTTCCTTTGACATAAAAGACATTTTATTTTTTGAGTACTTCCTTCCTTTCTAGCGGGAGTATGTCATACATTTGTAATACAGTTAGATTCTTTTGTCACAGTTGGCATCCCCTAACCTCTTAATTGAGTTTTCAAAATTTTGTGCATGTCAGGTTTACTCTTTGTACAGTTCTATAGGTTTTGACAAGTACGTAATATCACGTATCTATCACTACAGTTCCATGCAAAATAGTTTCACTACCCTAAAATATGCCCTGTGTTTTACCTGTTCAGCCCTCTTCCTGAACCCCTGACAACCACTAGTCTGTTTTCTGTCTTGATAATTACGCCTTTTCCAAAACCATCATATAGATGGAATCATACAGTATGTAGCCTTTTCAGCCTGGCTTCTTTCACATGGCACTTAAGATTCCTTCATGCTGTTACATGAATCGGAATAGTATTCCATTATGTGTATATTCACCCATGTTAATCCATTCATCTATTGAAGAACATCTTCTTATTTCTAGTTTTTGACAATTATGAATAAAGCTGGTATAAACGTGTGCAGGTTTTTGGGTGGATATAAATTTTTAAATCAGTTGGAAGAACATCTAGGAGTGTGATTGCTGATGTGTGCTACGAGTATGTTTAGCTTTATGAGTGCTAAACTGTCTTCTAAAGTGGCTGTACCATTTTGCATTCCTACCAACAATAATTGAGTGTTCTTGTTGCTCCACATCCTCAACTGTTAGTGTCAGTTTTTTAGATTTTAGCCATTTTAATAGGGATGTGATAGTATTCTTGTTGTTTGAACTTACATTTCTAATGACAATGTTGAGCATCTTTTCATATGCTTATTTTCCATCTGTATATATTTTCTGATGAGTTGTTTGTTAAACTTTTTTTTCCCAATTGGGTTGTTACTGTTGAGTTTTAAGAATTCTATGTGTATTTTATCATATATGTATATTATGCTTTATCATATATGTATATTGTAAATATTTTCTCCCAGTGTGTGGCTGCCTTTTCAGAGGAGCAAGTTTTTAATTTTAGTGAAGTCCAACTGATAAGTTTTTCTGACATGGATTCTGCTTTTGGTGTTGTATCTAAAATATTATTATAAAACCCAAGATCATACAAATTTTTTTCCATGTTTTCTTCTGGAAGTTTTATAGTTTTGCATTTTACATTTAGGTCTATGATCCATTTTGAGTTAATTTTTGTGTGTGGTATAAAGTCTCTCCTAAGTTCATGTTTTTACATATGTATATACAATTTTGCAGTTTGTTGAAAAGACATTCTTTCTCCATTGAATAACTTTTACAAGCCTCTGTCAAAAATTAGTTGCGTAGTAAATTTGTCTGAGTTTACTTCTCAGCTTTCTGTCCTGTTCCACTGATTTGTTTATTCTTTCACCAATGCTATGCTGTCTTGATTACTGTAGCTTTGTAGTAAGTCTTGGGAAATGGGTGGTATGAGCCCTCCAACTTTATTGTTTTGCAGCATCATGTTGGCCATTGTAGGCCCTTCGCCTCTCCATATAAATCTTAGGGGGACATTCACTTAATTTTAAAAACTACAAACTAAAATTAAAATGGTTACTCCTCAGAGATGCAGTATAAATGGGATGTTTCTTTAATTCTTTTTTTTCAGATGGTTCTTTGAAGCCCTGAAATATCCTAAGTTTTCCAAAGCCAATGTCATCAATGGAATACTCATGACGGTGGTGTTCTTCATCGTGCGGATTGTCTCAATACCTCCTTTGTATATCTTCATGTATTCCGTGTATGGAACCGAACCCTACAGAAGGCTTGGGTTGTTAATCCAATGTTCCTGGATCTCTTCCTGTGTTGTTTTGGATGTGATGAATGTCATGTGGATGATCAAAATTTCAAAAGGGTGCATCAAAGTCATCTCTCTCATCAGACAAGAGAAAGCCAGAAATAATCTTCAGAATGGAAAACTTGACTAGCGGTGTGCTATCGATAAGCAAAACTTCATTACTACCCATCATTTTATCTACTGATAGGATGAATTCTTGGCATGTTTTTGTGCTTCTTTATTAATTATAACTGTTATTCAGGGTTTCGGTGTCTTGTTTTGTTTTTTTTTTTTTTTACCTTTAGTAAAGAGAAACTAAAATTTAGTTTTCATTCTAAGATTTCTGCTTTTCTGCATTATTTATAAGCATGGATAAAATCTTAAAGGTTTGAATAAAAATTATACATATAGTAGTGAATCTTTCCAGAAATCTCTTAACTTGCATTGGTATTTTTCTCTGTAGAAAGAGGACTATGATAATTTGGTACACTTGGTTTTATGTCACCAATTTTGCTGGAAGAACGGGAACTGCTTTTAAATCTGTAAATAGCTCCTAACATTTGTTGTCAAGCACTCTTTTCTTACTTTGGCTGCCAACACCTGTGTAGGGTTTAATTCCTAAATTGTTGACATGTTCTTTTTCTTAGACTATTTAAGAGTGATATATTTTTCATTTCTGATATGCAACCGTCATTTACTAACGATGAAATATTTTACCACTTGGGGAGTATTTCATTAGTTAGGCATGGAAAATACTTAATATTTTTCAGATTTCACTTTCTTATTTCTATTTTTAGCATCTTATCAAATTACTTCATTTTTATGTTATAGTAAGGCTTCAGACAGATCTTATAGACTTCCCTAAGAGATGAATTTCTTCTAAAAATGCATATTGATAGATCTGACTATTTAGGGCCTATGGCTAATGGGAAGAATCTTTAAGAAAAAAGCTTTAACACTATTGTCCCTATCTGCTTCCCTGGCATTTTTCTGTGAAAAATTTATTATTTCTATTTGCAAAATCTATGAGTTCAGAACCCAACATCATCAGTACCAAAGTCTTATGCAATATATGTATTTGTGCTCCTAAAATAGGCCTCTTCTTGATGAGATCGAAACTACTACCAAAAAAATCAGTATTCATATTTTACTCACAATTTACACCCATGCTTGCTTAGTCAGCATTTTGACTGCTTTGCATTTCTATCTTTCTTAAATGACAGGAAGAAAATAAGAGAATTTAATTCCAAGTATTCTGATTATCAAAATTATTGATTGTCTGGTTATATGAAGATATATGACTGATTTTGTGTGTGTGTGTGTGTTTGCTTTTACTTTGGTTCTTGCAATCCAAATATAAACTTATATATAAACAAATTATATTTATCTATTTTTGCTTTTATTTATTTTTTCAAGTACTTGACTTTAATGATTGTTCTTACCGAAGGAAAAAAGAAGTTTAATTCAACTGGTGGTGAATACTTGAACTTAATTGAACCCAAGTCAAAAGATCTAACCTATTCAGTTTCTCAGTTTGAAGGAGAATGTTTGACTCACTTTCAGTGTTCATGCTATGTTGATGAAGGAAGGCTAGCTAAATATAATCAAGACCTTTTATTTGATTTGGTTTGATTTGGTTTTCCGGTGCAGATAGAACCCTGATGAGTTTTAAAACATTTAAAGAAGGGAATTGAAATTTCAATAACTAAATGATGAGATTTATTGGCTTACACTAGGCACATTTATTTTTGAAAGAATTAAAGTAATGTAAAGTAGTTATGTGCTTTTAAAAGTTAATATTACATGGATAATTTGTTACTAAATTTATGCTGTCCACATCATAGGCACTTAAATGTATATTGGTTGTCTAGAGGGGATAGGAAAGCAAGTGATTTTATCTTGCTCTTTTGCAAGAAAAGTAGCTTTTTTAAAAAGGAAAACATTTATATTATAAAACTATTTTGGAAATTCATTTGTTTGAAAGAATAAAAACCTTGAAAAGAAATAAACCTTGAAGTAATATTTTTGACTCTGGATATTTCTATAGTTCTGAACACAGATTTTAAACCCACCATCAAAATGAAGATGATATAGAGCTATGATATCAGTAAGTCTCGATGTAGCAGTTTCAGTTTTTATAGTTACTGTTTCATGCTTAAAACTTCATTTTTACTTTCATTAGCATTACCTTTCATTGGTATAGCTGCTACTAAATTAGTATACTTAAAATATTAAAGTTCTGAAGTGAGATTTTTTTATTCCCTTAGCAATGTGAACTTTATGCTAGCTGCATGACAGTTAATTCAACATCAAGATTCAATATCCAAAAGTGGGTTCTATATATTTCCTTATACAACAGACATAAAATGGAAATGCTACTACAAACTGCCATGCTACTTTAAGTCTGACCTTTACAGGAGATATACTTTGCTGTTCTGTGATTGTATCCACCTACCTAAAATACATATAAGGACAGAACATATCATTTATTAAACGATGAATTTTTCATTTATTAAATGACAAACTTTTGCTAGACATTTTAGATATTAAGTATTTTGACTACATGGATTAATGTAAATGATTCTATTAGGCATTCTGGTATTTAACAACTCTATTAAAATATTTATAGAAAATAAAAGCAAATTGGTATAAATTTTTAAGCAATTCTATTTTTGTAGAAAAGATTAGTGACAACCTGTAATTATAAAGATGTTCTTCGAATGTGTAGTATTCTAGAAAATAAAAGTTCTCGTGAAACTTAAAAAGGAATGAAAATCAGCTTATAGCATGCAAGATCATAGATCCTGCATTGAATTTTTATTTGTAAGACTGTAAAAATTAAGAGTTTTAGTTTATAGAATTTGCATTCTTATGTCTAAAATCTTTTAAAGGATTAGTAGCATTTATTTAAAACTCAAAATGGCGTTATCCCTATAGTAAGTTGAAATTAAATTTTCTGTTTGATTTCGTTATTCCATGGACTAACAATACGTTAAGAAAAATAATAAGTTATGTTGTTATCATCCCTATCAGTGACTCTGATATATTATGGATGACCTAGGACTGCCTTAAAGGTCTAATTTAAAAAACTGTCTAGTTTATAGATATTTGAATCAGATACTTTTCTAAATTTTAATAATTTGACTCAAATCAAATTTTTACTAAGTGTTAGTATTTAAATTGTATACTTTCCTTGAGGCACATTGGGCATTTGGAGAACAGTCCTTTACTGGTGTGAAGAGTAAGCTTTGCTGTGGGTTGCACCATGAGTGTCATCTATCATGCATTCAGAAACATTGTTAATGGAGATATGGAGGGGAAAGTATTGTAATGTGCATGTTTCTGTGTCATTTTTAAGTGAAATAAACATTCAAAAATTCAATTAAATACTTGAACAAGTTTCTGTTTCTAAGCCACTCTTAACTCCAAAATGTAAATGTGCATTTGAATTGGCTTAAGTGGTTTAGTCTGTTAGGATGAAATTGAAAAGGCCACAAATTTGTTAACATCAATAATACTTCGTAGAAGTTTCTGTATTTGTATATGTTTTGGATTCCAAAAGAAGGAAACTTGTATAATTTTTATCAGAAGACTGTCACAGTATTTCTTAACAAGTACTGAGCCAGTGTAGCAATGATACCTGTCTCTGGGTGCACACAGCTTACCACCCATAAATACAGCTGGCTGGTGGCAAACACACGAAAGCTACCGAAAGTGAGTTCTGATGCAGAACACTTGGATGTGTGTAGGAACAGCAAAGAGCTAGCAGGACTAGGAGTTAGAGGAGACATTGAGACTGCCTTTCCCCTAATAGCCGTGACAATCCTCCCTAGAAAATCTAGAAATTTTCTTACTGAATTCTTCCAGACCTTCCATCTCTTCATCCTATTACCCCAAAGACTTGGTCAGCACCTCCCTCTCTTATGCCAACACTTTTCTCTGTCAGCTTTCGAAACCTTCTTATATATCCATAAGCTTCCCAGTCTCTTGTGGCAAATTTAAAAGTTTACAAATAGGTTCTCTCATTGAAAAAAAGCATTGTAGTAAATTTAAGTAGAGCTCAAACTCTAATGGATTAAGAGGCTACAGGAAGCCATTCAGTATTTAATAATACCTGTTTACAACACGAGGCAAAGCTAATAATGTTACAGTTTTATTAAGAGACATCTGTAATCTCTTTCTTAAACTGGTTTAGCAATAAGAGCTCTATAACGTGTTTCAGCTGGGGATTTATTGTAGGCGTGTAAATTACCTAAATGTTATTTTAGGACCCCATGACAGGAGCTGGGAGGAACTGAGGTAATTCTTTGTTATGAGAGAGGGGGTGTTGGCTTGTGGCAGAATTATTTTCAGAGTCATGCTCTTTAATAGGGCAAACTTTGCTATGGTAATGTTTCTTTAAAAACAAGCTTACCAGCAAATGGGACACTTGATGTTTTCCAAAATACAACATCCAAGAACTTAAGCCTTACCCCTTTTCAGGCTGGACTTCACACAGCCTCTGCTTGCTTTGATAATGTCAGACCTTTGTTAGAAGGTATCTGGGATAGCAATGAAGAATTGAAGGCAGCTCCTAAAGACTGGTTTGTTCTCACTGAAAATGTTTACACTTCTTCTGAGCAGCAGACAGTTTTTATATTAGGCCCTGTATTAAAAAACCAAAAACAATGAGAAATATTTCTAAATCTCAAAGATTTATAAGTACAATACCTCTGGCTGAAAACTCGTTAAGCATCCTGTGTATATTTTTTTCTTTCTATCTTTGTGTAATTCTTTCTGTAATTAAGTGTACATTGGAGTTGTTTGCTACTTCTCAGTTAATGAAGCCTAAACATAGAGCAGTAAATAAAATGTGCTATTAATTTTTCTGTTTCTTGCTTGGTTTGTTTCTGGTATGATTATGTCTACTTTTGACTTAAGGAATTTTGTGTGGATGATACTCTAAGTTGTAACTTTAGGAAAAGTTATGAGATTTTTTTGGTAATTATAATTTGTAATAACATTCAGACATAGATTTTATTTGAAAAAGCTATTTGAAAACTGCAGCAAATGTCATAGCTATAGTGATAAATATACTGTTTTTCTTGAAAATATATAATATTTAATTGTCTTAAAGATTTTTGGAAGTCTTTCAAAATACACTTAACATTTTGAGAACATACCTTCTAATTTATTTCCATAAGGCTGAAGAACTTTTATTTATAAAATGTATGACTAGATAATTTATAAGTCAGTGTTACTAGGAGTCATCAGTAATTAAAACAGCAATTTAGTATTCTTTATTTTGGTTCCTGGTTGAGCTTCATTTTGAAGGATAATAAATGTCTAAGTGTTAAAATTTTCAAGTGTTTGTATACCTTATTTGCCATTTTAAGGTATATGCAAGTTCTAAGCAATAATCTGCATGTTATACAAGGTTGGCATAGTTTGCCATGACAATTTTATTTAATGTTAACTTTAAGAATGATAAAATCAACATTCTATAAATCACCCATCTGTCCCCCTACCCCCATGATAACCTTGGGATTTTCTTGTGCTAGAACACTACTATAATGTGGTGCAAAACTTTGTATTTTGTGGGAAAAATTAATAAAAATCACATTTTGTGCAAAAGTTTGTCTGCCAGGTGTTTAATAGTTGTTAATGAATAGATTGATGATAAAATTACTTTCCTCAAATCATCTTTTCTAGCACCTGAATTCTAAAGGTAAGATTTTCTTCCCCAAGGTGCTTGTCGAACTTGTTTACTTCCTTCCCTTCCCTTCTCCCCGCTGAGGTCTGGTAGCAGACCAGAAGGAGTTGCAAACATTGTAGTCATGATTGTTAATGGAAGGAATGGTGCTATCTAATCAATAGGCCCTTTTAGATTAAAACTTTGGCAGTTATGTTTTTAATCTCCTTACCTTTGTCCCTCAGGCCTCTCGTGGCCTCTAGTGTCTTTTGCCAAATGTCTTGGCTGGATTTCCTACCTTCTACAATTGCCTGTGGTCTGAATCTTGCATCTTGGTCTGAGAATATCCAGTAAATGAGAAAGCAGAACACTAAATGAATCGAATACTGAAAGTGGTTTGGCCTTTGGAGAGTATCATGAGTCACGCTTCAGAACATGCCTAAAATGTTGTGTTAAGACTGGCAAAGGAACAGCTGAATTTCAAAATGAAAATAGCAGTCCCAGCTGTCAGTGGAGACAGGCCGCAGGTGAAATCACAAGTATTCAGAACCGCTGGAAGCAAGTGTAAATGGGGTCTCTCTCCCACACTTCAGGCTGTCTCAAACATGACTCAACCTTCATTCTTCTATTTGCTAGTCTTTTCCAAAGACTGCTTACTGCTTCCTGTCCCCTGTGATGGTCCTTAAGCATGCACAAAGTAAATTTGGTAAACTTGATTTGGTAAATTTGTAACTTATCCCCATGCTAGTTACTGATAATCTGACAGGTATTCCCGTATGTCCCTGCAAATTGGTCTCTTTAAGGACTGCACACACCACCCTGTGCTTGAGTAGCTGTGCCCATTGCCATTTTTGGCATAGTCCTCTGAGATCCTCCCTGCCATTGCCAGATAGGCTCTTCCTCTTTCCATCTACCTTCAGCTAAATTTGATTACCACATCTAGTCTTGTTGTGTTATCAGATCATGAATTATACCAGTAGAAATGACCTGAGCAGACGTTTCAAAAGGGACTTGTACAGAGGAATGAAAGGTAATATGGATGATGGGCTGCATTTCTATCGAGAATAAAGACCAAAGAAAAATGGAAATTTGGACAGAATGACATAAAAGGAAGTAGGAAATGACTTCAGAACAGGAAAGATAAGAAGATGCTGTGTATATATACATTGCATTTTAGGTGACAGGAACTGATCAAGAAAAATGAATAAATATAGTAAAATTCCTTTCCATGGTATCAGGGCATAAGAATTTTTATGACTTTTCTCCAAGCTAGGCGTGGTGGCACATGCTGGTGATCGTAGCAATTCTGGAGACTGAGGCAGGAGGATCACGTGAGCTTAGGAGTTCAAGGCCAGCCTTGGCAACATAGACTGTGTCTCTAAAACACCAAAAGTTTAATGGCTTTTCTCTATTAAAATACAATATGTACATATTCATTATATATGCTTCTCTGTGTAGCTATGTAGGTGTTTTGTAAATAACGTATATACACACATCTATATACATGTGCACATACACTTGTGAGGGACATGATTTGGAATTTCAAAATTATTTATATCTGAGAAAGAGTGCAGCTTCCCAGCTTTCTCCCCACCCTGCCAACAATCAGATGCCTCCGTGCAGAGGCGCGTTGGTGCAGCCGTGGTCCCGGGGGCTGTCTGAGCTTGCAGGAGAACCCACGTCCTGATCTGGTGTAGGCACCAGAAACCAAACTATGCCCAACAATTAAGCTTCCTGGAATGATCACGGTTGCCAAGCAGGCTCTCCACGAGAGGGTTTAGGAGATGAAATGAGCAGTTTCTAAAGTATACTGTGTTGTGGACAGAAAGGATGTGTGAATGGATGAGACACAAGGGGGTAGGATTTTGTTTGAATTGTAAATTGGAAAAGAGCAATTTGGCAGGAGTGAGGTGCCTAAAAGCTTACAGTAACCTCGAAGAAGTGTCTTAATCTCTCTGAGTCTTAGTTTTGTTATCTGTAAAATAGTGTTTGAAGTGTCTCTGACATTCCTTCCAACTCTCCCATCCCATTAGCAAGAGCTTTAATTTGAAATGAGGTGATTAGGAAGGAACAAGTGTAGCTTTGAAGGCTTCATAATATGACTTAAAAGGCATTCAAGGGAGATTCTCAGTGTCCAATTAGATGAGTGAGAGTATTGAAGTAGGTAAAGTGACAAAGAACTGGCTAAGGACCTACAAAGTGGCTAAGCCCAGTGGTTGGCCTGAGATAAGGAAGATTTGAAAAAAGGGCTGGACCTGCTAAATATTGCACAGAGGGAGGGAAAAGGTTTAGAAAAAGGGAACTTGACTCACGACTAAGGCTATGGAATCAAGAGGAGACAGGGTGGTGATGTAGCACTCAGTGGGAGGCTGGTGAGCAGGCTGGTGGCAGCTCTTACGGGGATCCTGTAGATGTGTGGGGAAACATGTCAAGGTAATTTGCTCTGAACGAGGAAGAGAAGACACGGTAGTTAGACGAGCAGAGTGGAGCCTGTGACAGACTTTAACATGATGGCAGTGTTGTGCAGAATTGAACCTGGGAGAATGAAAACTCGCTCCAAGTGCCACACTGTTGCGGTTTTAATTGCTTTTCTGATTTCTGCTCCACCATATCTGACCCCTCATATCTGTGTAGTCCAGGTTCTTGACTGGCCACTGAGCCATGGTTTCCTCACAGCGCTTTCAGGTTCCTTGCCCTGTCCCTGTGACTCA